TCCCTCTCTAAGATCTACTTTTACTGGGAAGTAGTCTCCCTCTCTTCTACACACCCTAACCTGAGCCTCACTATCCTCATAAAAACTCTTTACAGCATTTAGTAACTTACTACCAATTCCATATATTTGCAACATCAGCCACATTGTTCCCCTATCCACTTTATCATATGCCTTTTCTAAATTCATAAATGCAATGAAAACTTCCCTACCTTTACCTAAATACTGTTCACATATATGCTTCAATGTAAACACTTGATCTACACGTACCCTACCCACTCTAAACCCTCCTTGTTCATCCACAATCCTACATTCTGTCTTGCCTCTAATTCTTTCAATAACATACACTTTTCCTGGTATACTCAGTAAACTTCTTTCTTTCAACACACCGGCCGTATCCCACCGAGGCGGGGTGGCCCAAAAAGAAAAGCGAAAGTTTCTCCTTTTACATATAGCAATATATACAGGAGAAGGGGTTACTAGCCCCTTGCTCCCGGCATTTTAGGCGCCTCTAACACGCATGGCTTACGGAGGAAGAATTTTGTTCCATTTCCCCATGGTGATAAGAGGAAATCAACAGGAACAAGAGCTAGAAAGAAAATAGAAGAAAACCCAGAGGGATGTGTGTGTATATATGCTTGTACATGTACGTGTTGTGTGACCTAAGTGTATGAAGTAGTAGCAAGATGTAACTGAAATCTTGCATGTTTATGAGACAGAAAAGAGACACCAGTAATCCTGCCATCATGTAAAACAATTACAGGCTTTCATTTTACACTCACTTGGCAGGACGGTAGTACCTCCCTGGGTGGTTGCTGTCTACCAACCTACTACCTACACTCAGTAAACTTTTTTTTTTTTCAACAAGTCGGCCATCTCCCACCAAGGCAGGGTCACCCAAAAAGAAAGAAAATCCCCAAAAAGAAAATACTTTCATCATTCAACACTTTCACCTCACTCACACATAATCACTGTTTTTTCAGAGGTACCCAGAATACAACAGTTTAGAAGTATATACATATAAAAATACACAATATATCCCTCCAAACTGCCAATATCCCAAACCCCTCCTTTAGAGTGCAGGCATTGTACTTCCAATTTCCAGGACTCAAGTCCAGTTATATAAAATAACCTGTTTCCCTAAATCCCTTCACTAAATATTACCCTGCTCACACTCCAACAGCTCGTCAGGTCCCAAATACCATTTGTCTCCATTCGCTCGTATCTAACATGCTCATGCACGCTTGCTGGAAGTCCAAACCCCTCGCCCACAACACCTCCTTTATCCACTCCCTCCAACCTTTTCGAGGACGACCCCTACCCCGCCTTCCTTCCCCTACAGATTTATTAGCTCTCCATGTCATTCTACTTTGGTCCATTCTCTCTAATGACCATACCACCTCATTTACTTCTTTTACAACCCCATCTATAAATATATTAAACAACCATGGTGACATTACACATCCCTGTCTAAAACCTACTTTTACCGGGAAGTAGTCTCCCTCTCTTCTACACACCCTAACCTGAGCCTCACTATCCTCATAAAAACTCTTTACAGCATTTAGTAACTTACCACCTATTCCATTTACTTGCAACATCTGCCACAATGTTCCCCTATCCACTTTATCATATGCCTTTTCTAAATCCATAAATGCAATAAAAACTTCCCTACCTTTATCTAAATACTGTCACATATATGCTTCAATGTAAACACTTGAGCTACACATCCCCTACCCACTCTAAAACCTCCTTGCTCATCTGCAATTCTACATTCTGTCTTACCTCTAATTCTTTCAATAATAACCCTACCATACACTTTTCCTGGTATACTCAGTAAACTTATTCCTCTATAATTTTTACAATATCTTTTGTCCTCCTTCCCTTTATATAAAGGGACTATACATGCTCTCTGCCAATCCCTAGATACCTTCCCCTCTTTCATACATTTATTAAACAAAAATACCAACCACTCCAACACTATGTGTCCCCCTGCTTTTAACATTTCTGTCATGATCCCCTCAGGTCCAGCTGCTTTACCCCCTTTCATTCTACGTAATGCCTCACTCACCTCCCCTACACTCACATCCTGCTCTTCTTCACTCCTAAAAGATGGTATACCTCCCTGGCCAGTGCATGAAATTAACACCTCCCTTTCTTCGTCGACAATTAAGTTCCTCAAAATATTCTCGCCATCTACCCAAAACCTCCATCTCCCCATCTACTAACTCCCCTACTCTGTTCTTAACTGGCAAATCTATTTGTTCCCTAGGCTTTCTTAACTTGTTTAACTCACTCCAAAATTTTGTTCTTATTTTCATTAAAATTTCTTGACAGTACCTCTCCCACTCTATCATCCGCTCTCCTTCTGCAGTCTCTCACCACTCTCTTCACCTTTCTTTTACTAACCATATACTCTACTCTTCTTATAACATTTCTGCTTTGTAAAAACCTCTCACAAGCTAACTTTTTCTCTTTTATCACACCCTTTACCTCATCATTCCACCAATCACTCCTCTTTCCTCCTGTACCCACCCTCCTATAACCACAAACTTCTGCCCCACATTCTAATACTGCATTTTTAAAACTATTCCAACCCTCTTCAACCCACCCACTACTCATACTTGCACTAGCCCTCCTTTCTGCCAATAGCTGCTTATATCCCACCCAAACTTCTTCCTCCCTTAGTTCACACACTTTCACCTCTCTCTTACTTGTTGTTGCCATTTTCCTTTTGTCCCATCTACCTCTTACTCTAACTGTAGCTACAATGAAATAATGATCCGATATATCAGTTGCCCCTCTATAAGCGTGTACATCCTGAAGCCTACCCATCAACCTTTTATCCACCAATATATAATCTAACAAACTACTTTCATTATGTGCTATATCGTACCCTGTATATTTATTTATCCTCTTTTTCATAAAATATGTATTACTTATTACCAAACCTCTCTCTGCACATAGCTTAATTAAAAGCTCCCCTATTTCATTTACCCCTGGCACCCCAAATTTACCTACTACTCCCTCCACAACATTTTTACCCACTTTAGCATTGAAATCCCCAACCACAAGTACTATCACACTTGGTTCAAAACTCCCCACACAATTCCCAAAACCTCTCTCTCTCTTCTACACTTCTCTCTTCTCCAGGTGCATATACACTTACTATAACCCACTTTTCACATCCAACCTTTATTTTACTCCACATAATCCTTGAATTAATACATATATACTCCCTCTTTTCCTGCCATAACTTATCCTTCAACATTATTGCTACTCCTTCCTTAGCTCTAACTATATTTGAAACCCCTGAGCTAATCCCATTTACTTCTCTCCACTGAAAGTCTCCCACCCCCTTCAGCTTTGTTTCACGTAAAGCCAGGACATCCACCTTTTTCTCATTCATAGCATCCACAATCATCTCTTTCTCATCATTCACACAACATCCATGCACATTCAGACATCCCACTTTGACAATTTTCTTCTTTTTAGTAATCTGTACAGGAAAAGAGGTTATTAGCCCATTGTTCCCGGCATTTTAGTTGACTTTTACAACAGGCATGGCTTACGGAGGAAAGATTCTTATTCCACTTCCCCATGGATATAAAAGGAAAAGTAATAAGAACAAGAACTTTTTTTTTTCAAGAAACCGGCCGTATCCCACCAAGGCAGGGTGGCCCAAAAAGAAAAACAAAAACTTCTGTTTTTAAGTTTAGTAACTTATACAAGAGAAGGGGTTACTAGTCCCTTGTCCCCGGCATTTTAGTCGCCTCTTACAACAAGCATGGCTTACGGAGGAAGAATTCCGTTTCACTTCCCCATGGAGGTAAGATGAAATAAACAAGAACAAGAGCTAGAAAGAAAATAGCAGAAAACCCAGAGGGGTGTGTATATATATGCTTGTACATGTATGTGTAGTGTGACCTAAGTGTAAGTAGAAGTAGCAAGACGTACCTGTAATCTTGCATATTTATGAGACAAACAAAAGACACCAGCAATCCTGCCATCATGTAAAACAATTACAGGCTCTCATTTTACACTCACTTGGCAGGATGGTAGTACCTCCCTGAGTGGTTGCTGTCTACCAACCTACTATCAATATCTCATTAAATATTACTCTTAACTTATTTATATCAATATCCCTAAGAAAGACTTTAACAGAAAGAAAATAATTTACTTTCTCAGAAAGAAAATAGATTTTGGTAGTGGATCTGTGAGGGAGGCAGAGAGACAGTGAATCAGTGGGGAAGGCAATGAGAGGTAGTGAATCCATGAAGAATGCAGGGAGACAGTGAGGGAGGTAGCAAGTAAAATTATGAGAGGGGCAGTGAGAGACACGTTCACCAGTCCAGGCTCAGGCCCTCCCTCCTTAGTACCCAGCAAAGCACCCTGCCCATATCTTCCCATTCTGCTGAGCTGGGGCCACCCTCCATGGCTCAATGGTTTCCCATCCACCACCATCCCTAACCAACCATACACCTCTCCTCTCCTTGCCTGCCAAATATTCATGTAATGACACTTTGCGAATAGTCCTTGACTATTCATAAAGTATGAATGCATTTAAAAACAGAAATAAAGCAATAAGTGAAAACTGCAAAGTCTCAAAATGAATTCCTATCCTTTACATGCAATACTGGGCTCGCTGTATGCAATTTCACTTTATGCACCACCAGCCAGGAATGTACCTACCATGTAAAGCAAGGGAGACTAGTATTTTCTCTGCTTTTTCCTTACACACACTATATCATCACCACATATCTTCCATTGTACTGAGACAGAAGGAAGATGGTTATTCAGCATTTTTCAGAGAGAATCTAGAGAAGGTGCATCCTCAGCCCAACTTCTTGAATTTTTTTATCACACAAAATGTTAGGCTGTGTACACCATTTGAAGTCTTTTGAAGTGTACTTGCTACAATTAATGTCCACTTAACACTAACTTTCAATATCGACTAACACTAGCACAAAGTACATTAGTGTGATACACTACATGTGTATACTTACAGTACTGATGGAGCAAACTGGTCTGTTGAAGCATATGTTATTGTAGGAGAAAAACACAACTGGGAGCCATCACTGTCATCATCCTTGCTGCGACGACCGGCAAGGGTTGAGCTTACTCCAAGTTCACCTACACAGAGGTATAGCCATTATAATTAAGCTTTACAATTCACCCTCTACTAGTTATACAAATTACAGTCTTCGACACTTATCAAAGTTGAACATTTACCGAAAAAATTCAATAAGCTCACCGCTAAAGAGCAACTCGCCCTTGTCCAGCATCCGTCTCACTGCGCCAGGTCTGGTGCCGTGGTATGCCATGTGCCACGACTCATTGTTATCTCCCACCCCACTAACCAGGGCAAAACGACACCAGCCAAATGGCTGTGCATAGTGCTTTGGTGGACTTCCTGCAACAGACAATTATTTCAGTAATTCAGAGTACATTCACCTTACAGACCCATTCTGTCATATCTAGGCCAAGATTTACTGCTCATAGCTTATCTGAGTGAGCTGAGCTCATGACACAGAATGTGAAGGACTCTGGCACAGTTCTGTGATGGCCATTGAAAATGTTAACTTGTTACACAAGAAATCAGTTACATTAGTAATCTTCATTACACCATTAATATCTGTTACACCAGTAACCTTCATTATATCAGTAACCTATGTTACAATGGTATCAATGTATAGAATATTTCGCAGTTATCAATCCTTTTTATACATTAAACACTAGGGTTAACAAACAGTAATACTTGTACTGTTATTGAGACTTTTGTAACCAGGCCAGAAATTCATTTGCATTTTGACCCAAAACAATTTGGACAATTTTTATTTTTTTGGTACAAGAGCAGTTGTCATTAGACATCTATGGAAGAACTACCATGAAGCGCAATAATGGCAGTACTTTCACCATCCATGGAAGAATTATCATAAAGTAATAAGGCAGTACCCTCACCATCCAATGGAAGAACTACCATGAAGCAATAATGACAGTACTCTCACCTTTCATTGACAACATTTGGCAACACTCACAATCGACTGCCACTCTATGGTTTTCTAAATGTACTATACTTTTCCACTGCTTTTACCTAAATGTTATTTTTAAATTAATGTTTGGCATTTTTAAACTTGTACCAGCTTTTCTTTAGTTTCTGAGCATACACACTGACTAGGTAATTATCTTTCTTCAGTCTCTGTGTTTCTCAGAGGAAGCAAATAGTGACTGCTTCATTTAGATCACAGCCAGAAAGTTATATAAAATTATTATCCCAATGTTTCAAGTGTGCCTTCAACAGTTTTCAATGTTTAACCCTATCATAGTCTCTCATGTTACTGAGGCTAGTAGTGCTCATGTAGATCTACATCTTACTCACAATACACACTGATATGCTTTAAGTGGTAAATTTTGGCCAAGACATAAGAGAATGGGTCTGTGCAGCGAGTGCCCACATAATAAAAAAAAATAATTCCTACCCCATGTAGTGCAAGATGGGAACAACTAACATCTGACCTTGTGTTTGGTTACAAATAGCAACTTTTCTAAGATGTTTTTCATGGCACATGCAACCATTTCACTTATTACAACTAAGCATAACAAATATTTCTGGAAAAACTAAGTAACTAATACATACGAACATATGTATATTTTATATCTTGTGCTTATGGAGCTTTTTTAACACGTTGGCCATCTCCCAAGGCAGAGTGACCCAAAAAATAAAGAAGCACTTTTACCATCATTCGTATATAACCACTGTCTTTGAAGATGTGCCTAGATATGAGAGTTTAGATGTCACTCCAAACAGTCAATATCCCAAACCCTTCTTTAACCCTTTGAGGGTTTTGGTCGTACTAGTACGTCTTACGCGTAGGGGTTTTTGACGTACTAATACTCATGAATTCTAGCGGCCTCAAATCTAGTGGGAGAAAGCTGGTAGGCCTTCATATGAAAGAATGGGTCTATGTGGTCAGTGTGCACAGTCTAAAAAAAATCCTGCAGCACACAGTGCATAATGAGAAAAAAAAACTTTGACCATTTTTTTTAATAAATCAGCGACTTTGCAGTGTATTTTCATATGGTATTTATTGTTGTTTTTCAGTTTTCTTGGTTCATTTTATAGAATGGAAGACTATTACAGAAATTGAGATGATTTTGACTGGTTTTACAATGAAAGGTGCCTTTTAAATTGAGCTCAAAAATAGCAGAAATGTTCGATTTTTACCAAACTTCAAAAATAAACAAATCGTGCCAAGCGTGCAATACACGTCAACTGGTGAGTCTAATATTCTTTCACAAGTGCACCAATAATAATTTATACCATTTTTTTTCACTAATGCAGTAGTCTGCATAAACAGTAAATCTTATATTTTTTGTGAGAAAAAAAATTCAAAGTTGAAAGCCAAAGAATATAAGAGGGGCCTTGAGACGTGACTAATGGCTAGAGGAAATGTTATTTTAGTGCCAGGAATGTCTTTCTGTTTATTCTGGACCCTATTCGGAAATTGGCATCTTTTGAAATTTGTGTGAAATTGGCAAAATTGCTAAAATTTTGACCACTGTACTGGATAGTTGAATTTCATAAATGGGTGGTTTCTTGCACCCATTCGATGGACAAAATGGAGTTCTAGGGAAATATTCATGTTTTTTGTCGACTAGTACAGTGAAATTGGCCGAAAATGGGGCTCAAAGTGGGCAAAATCGCCGATGCGTAAACATCGCCGAGACCGCTAACTTTGCGAGAGCATATGTAGACAGCCTGTACTGTCAGAGCACACAGCCTAGCCGTCTGCTCTGACTAGTTCATATTTCGCGGCATTCAGTGCTGCCCTCTGTAGGCCTACCTAGGTCAGTGGGAAGCACAGCCCACCCTCTCTCACTCCGAGGCCGACCGACTTGACATACACAAGTGCTCCCCCTCCACGGACTGGCTTGTGGTCACTCCCTCACACTGCCCGTTGTGTACTCACTCCTACCCAATTAAAGCCAAACTAGTCCACGGCCATATCATTGCTACCTACGCTACCTTCATCGGCACTAAACCGCTGTTCAGCAGTAAGAACAGCAATAACAGTGGTGACAGCGGAGTCAACGGCATTGTGAGCCTCTTCAGGGTGGAGGGGTCAACACCATCGGTCGACGCCAGTCAACATCATCCGTCGTCATCCAACGCACCTGCTGGCCTAAAGAGTTATCTGTTACTCCCAGCGGCTTGACGGGACCTGAGATAGATCTTCGTCCTAGATTTTTCCCACAAAATCTGGACATAGGCGTCACGGCGTCATCTCCAGCCTTAGCAGTCACGTGTTCACCTCATCACCTTCTCTACAGCCCTTCAACACTCTCCAGCACCATTCTCCTGCCTCCTACAGCGTCCCTACGCCCTTCTCAGCTACAAGAAGTAGAGGTGAGGTCGTTTAGTGTGTTGGCTTCGTGTGGCTCCACGCGTGACCACGAGGCAGCTCTGGGGTTGGTTTATACCCTAATCAGCATGTAAACACACCAGCCTCCTCTACAGCCTTCTCTGCTACGCAACGACGTCCATCTCGCCGTCCATGTGTGTTGTGTTCTTCCCAGTTTCCTCCAAGAAGTTCTACCTTGCTTAACCACGTGGGAACCCAGTTGGCTTAGCCCCTAAGCCAGCTCAGTTCAGCGTCTACAGCAGCTCGTGACTCATCATAGTGTCTACAACTACTCAGCGTCTACGTATCTCCAGCCAGTGCAGTTTTTTTTTTTTGTGTTCCCCCCCATTTAAATTTTTTTTTTTCCCTTTCCCTTGCGTTATATTCCCATTTTCATCCCCGTTCTTTTTTTCCCCCCAGTGATTTGTTAAAAGTAAAACTTACTCGCCCCAAAGTTAAAAGTTTCACTTAAGCTTTTTTTAGCACGTTCGAGTAGTGCAGAAAAATGTTTTTTTCTCCGGTGCAAAGGGCCGCACCCAAGTCAGCGGGGCCCAGACCCCTTTTCCATGAAAACCCCAACCCAACACACTGGGGTTAAAACCCCCGGGTATCCACGTTCTTCTAATTCTTATCCCTTTCCACAAGTTCCCCCGGGCCCCTTCCTGTTTTTTTCCCAAAGCCCCAATTCTGATGATTTTTTTTCTACACATTAAAGCCCCATACCCAGTATCCCAAATGCTACGGGGCGTGTAGTGTAAATAGACATCACTGAAATTTTCCAGGCCCCGGGCGGGCAACCCAAACCTTTTCGCCCATCTCCAGCACCAAATTTTAAAAGAAAAAACAGTGACTTACCTACTTTTTCCAATATTTTGTGACTTTTTTAACGCCCCTAAAAACCAAAAACAGTTACAGTTACTGAAGCCAAAACTTCAAAAATTTGGGGTTCATTGTCACCCAGTGCACATTTTCCCATTTTACCTACACTTCTTAAATTTTGAAAATTTATTTTTGCCCCTCCTACTTTTTAAATTTCCATATTTTTTTTTTCTGCTTTTTGCACCTCATTTATTGTTTTAAAATTTGCCCAGGGGTTAACCATTTATAAAATTTCCTCCCCTTTACAGTTTACATGAAATCCCGGTGCTTTTTATTTTGTTATTGCCCCTTTCCCAAGTTCCCCACAATTTTTTTTAAACCCCCCCGGGCACGGGTTTTGTTTGTTAGTGTTTTTTTTTCTTTTAAAAAAGTGTAATCTTCAAGTACTTAATATTAGCTTTTTTCTCCCCTGCAGTGATACAATCTGTCCTAGCCCATTAAATTTTTTCTTCTGTTTCCCCTTTTAATTTGCTCTACATAAAATTCTATGTTTTATCTGTGAATATTCACCTATGTGCATTGTTTTTTGGGCAAATTTTTTATACCCAAGTCATTGATGTATTTTTGGGAACCTGCTTTTTTTACCTTTAAATTCCCAAAAATTCCTTGTAAATTTAAAATTAAATTTTTAAACCTTTTGAGTTTTGGTGAAATTTTTTTTTTTTTTTTTCCCATTGTACACCCTGCTAACCCCAGCAAAAATTTTGGGCCAAAACCCTTGAATTTAAAAAATTTGCTTTTTTAAATTAATTTTTTTTTTGTGTGCATATAGCAATTCGGGATAAAAGTTTTTTTTTTTTCTGTGTTTTTTTGGCACTATTCCATACTCTGAAAACTTTTTTTGGGGCCAATTTCCCCTTGTCCCAAGTGAATTACCCTTTTTTTAAATTGCTTTTCAATTTGCAACTGCTCCCCAAAAACCCGCAATTTTTTTTAAACTGTGTTTTCAGCACATTTTTATTTTGGTAGTACCTAAATTTTTTTTGTTTTTTGGTGAAATTTTTTGCTCCCAGGGGTTTCCCATTTTTCAACCCCCTTTTCAAAAATTTTTGTTGCCAGATTCCGGGTGAAATTTTTTGGACTACCCCTTAGCTTCATTTTGTGAAACTTCCCCTGTATACATTCACTTGCA